TATACAGTTTAGTTATATAAGTCATTTTAAGTTTGCCATTCAAAACTTGATTGAATTTTATATTAATAGATATGCATTAAAATGAGGTGTTTAAATGTTTAAATGCGAATATTGCTTATATACCATTAGATTAAATCAAGTTTTTATTAATTCATTTGACCATTTCATAATGAATAAATTTATTTGAAAAAAATTTTTTTTGACTGGTTTGACTTTTTTATTAATTGATTTCCTAAATTGCAGAAAAACCTGAAAATTAAGAAAAATTGTGTTTAATTTCTAAAAAAAGTATGCAAATCACTCCACCTTAATATATATATATATATATATATATATATATATATATATATATATATAATATATATATATATATATATATATATATATATATACACATATGCATATATATATATATATATATATATATATATACACATATGCATATATATACATATGTATGTGTACACATTTGTGCTTGGGTATAACTTCAGGAAAGTGCTCAATGAATAAAAATAAACAAAAATAAATTAAGTTAAAATAGAACTGTATTTATATATTTATATAGATAAAATTACATTTTTTATATCTATAAGTTTCAGGCTAAATCCAATAATTATTTTTAATTATTGTATAAGGATAATAGGCAGTTTTTAGTTATGTTGTTGGGCGTTATGAGGGCGTAAATAAAAAGACGAAAAACTTTTTGCTGGATAACCACAAACCAAAATGTAAGATTTTAAACTTATGATTGCATTTAACATGAAGTCTATAGTTGTAAAAAGTATATAGTTTTATTTATAATATATATAAATGAAGGATACAAGGGAAAAACCAGTGATGTCACATTTTAGCAATTTTTGAATTATTATCCCTACTATGTTGTAGGTAAGGTACATGCATAACTACAAAGATGGATATCAAAAAAACAAAAAATAAATCACTATAATTTTTCATGTGAAAAAATGGTCACAAGGGGTAAATCAGACATGTCCAAATTGTTTAAGGAGTAAACCAAAGATGTTCAAATAACTTTGTGCTGTTTACAACTATTTACATAACACTTAATTAACTAGATTTTTACCACAAAATAAAATATGGCATATAAATGTCAAAATCCAGATTCAAATGTCAAATTCCAAAGAAGAAGAAAAAAAAAATGACTGAAAGTGGGAAGGAGATAGAAATGAACAATTATCTTTCCATGTGATGGCTTTCTGCAGGTTTTGAATAATTTCTGACATAGTGTTGACCAATAATTGTATCCCCTTTTTAACATAAATCCTATATGAATGACACCTGTTGTTTTGAACAAGATGTATAGCATGTTTGTATTACATATTTGTCTTACTATTGTTTTGCATATTCACATTCAACTTAACTAGCAATAGCTGACTTGTGTCAGACTTGTCTCAAATAAAACCAGAACTCATCACCTGTAACAACATCAGGTAGTCTCCATAAATTGTTTCTGAATAGGGATACATGTTCATTATAAATCTCAACTTTTTTGATTGTTCAATTTGAGATCCAATATGATGCTCATTTTCTTTTTTAAGAGAGCTATGAAATATGTAATTGATCGTAAAATGATTAATTGATGCCAAGGCTTTATTTTTACCATAATTTCATGAGAGTCCTTCTTAAATAACAATATGCAATTGCTCAGTATTTTTATTTTCCTCTTAATATACGGATTAGATGGCATTTTGATTCCCATTCGATCGTTCAAACTAAATATTTTGATCCCCATTCAAGCATTCAAACAAAGAATTTTCATGATTACTTGATGAACTTTTAAATTAGTTTTGCGGGTATTATGAACTACAGTAATTATTTCTTTTAATAATTGTATAACTGTATTATTACAGACTGTTTTTAATACTATTTGTTTTATAAATGCCGATCTATTTTAATTTATTACAATAAGTCTACCATTATATCAATCATAGTACATCAATATTGTAATACAATTCATATCATTACATTCATCCTATTGTCATACAATTAGTTTCTTCACATTCACCTTTAAATGCTTCTGATCACAGTTTGATCACCCTAAAACTACTATCTCACCCTAAAACTACTTCTTTATCATCAGAATATTGTCGTACATCTTACAACTACCTTAAAATTAGCTGGTACTCTATCCATGATTTTTTTTGTGATGACCCTTATGTAGAAATACTTTAACTTCCTGCTATTAAAGGTGCTTCTTACAAAAATTCTTGGATTCAGGCTGGCATGGAATCTTTTACTTCCTCGAGACAATTTTAAGTCAAGCCTCGCTTTTCTCCATGGTTTTTCTCACATTGTGCTGCTGCAATCTCCAATCGTAACCATTACTTACATATCTATCAGAAATATATCTCCACACAACAGACATCTGTTTACTATTGCTAGAAACCATTGTAAAAAGATTTAGTCTAATGCAAAAACCTGGTATTCTCAGGTCACAAAGTCTCATATTTTATCTTAAAAATTAGGCTCTTGTGATTTCTGG